TACAGGGTGGACCAAAAAGAATATACGTATTTCAAACTGATATATTTATTAAACTATCGATAGTAGCGGTGTGCTGCGGGTATCGGAGGAACGAGTGCATTGTCTAGTTTGTCCCCAGATGTCAGTTGTGCTTGGTTACAATGACGTATTCACAGTTGTTGTAAAATGGCTACGCCACAGCACAAAAGCTTTTGTATTCTTGAGCTTGCGAAGTGTAATTCCGTGATTACAGTGAAAAGACATTTCCAGTTGAGGTACGAAATTGATCCTCCGAATGGATGGAACATTTGCAGATGGTACCGTCAGTTTGTTGACACAGGTTGTGTATGTAAAGGAAAGAGTCCTGGCCGACCTCGTGTATCTGAAGAAAATGTCGCACGGATTCAAGCTGCTTACCAACGTAGCCCTTCAAAATCAACACGTCATGCCAGTCGGGAATTGCAGCTGCCTAAAACAACAGTTTGGCGTGTTTTGAGATGCAGGTTAGTTATGAAGCCCGGACCGAACTCCCGCCCAGACCCTGGTTCCCGGACACCCGGACGGAACTCCCACCCGGACCGTTCGTGTCGCTGGTGGAGGATATATTGAACACCTGTAATCTAAACTAGAGAGTTTCATAAATATGTGTCCCAAGTTCCATAGTTGTATGTCTTACAGTTTATTAAATATATCAGTTTGAAATACGTATATTCTTTTTGGTCCACCCTATACAATTACGCATACTTTTTTTTTGCACTTAATAAAACTTGTGAAAAAAATAGTTACGATAAAATATATAACTGCTAACATTAAACTGGACACAAAAAGATCCAAATTAAGATTAAATCTTTAATGTCCAACAAAAGATTTGAAGAACAAATAATTGTTTTCAGCCACTTTTAGTGACCATCATACAAATTAAAATGCTAATTACAGAACTTAATTATTTTCAGCTATTTTTAGTAGCCATTATTTGTTGAACATTAAAGATTTGATTGTAATTTGTTAGGTTATCATTAATATTCTCTTGATTTATCAACAATGTTTTGTCTGAAAACTTCAAAACATCTGTAAATTAATGCTTGCTTTTGAAAATGAAATGTCAGTATCTTATTTTTCATTTTTTTTAATCATATGGAAATTATTAGATATATCATATTACCTTATTTTAATTTAAGAAATAATATTATTATTTGATAGATGTTTTTAATTTTACTGATATCGAAAATTTTTCAAATTGATTATCATCAAAACAAATGAAGATAATCTATTATGGTTTTCTATAACATTAAACTTACGTACTAAATATCATGTTTATGAATTTAAAACTCTACTGTATCCTAGTTGTAAAATTCACATAAATTCAGTTTAAAATTTTTAAGAAATAAGCTAGGTTAGAAATTGATAAATATTATACAAACATTACAAAATAATCAAAAATGTCTAAATAGCAAATACTTTAACTTACATTTGCTTTATGATGATTATAGTATTTTTCTTGATAATGTTTATAAGAAGTAACGTATACTTTAAACTTATTTTTAATACCATCAGCAACATTATTCATATTTATTAAGTTTTGTATTTTTTTTTTCTTTATACATTTTACCTACAATGTCCTGGATTGCAACACACATCTTAGGTGAATGATACATATCATAAATATTTTAATTAGGTATTTTATAGCTGATATAACTTTGTCTTCAGTTTTTAGATTATATAAAATTTCTTTTCAATAGTCATCATTAACTACTGCTTTATACGATACAACTATAAGAGCATTATTTTAATTTAATCTTCAAAATAAAAATATAAAAAAAAATTTCATAAGACAATGAAAACTGAAATCTTATCTTGCATATATTAGAATTTCGTTCATAGATAAAAAATGGCATATATAAAAATATACCATATTTTTGCCTTATAAGATACATTTTTTTTGTACCTAAAATTTATCTGAAAATCAGGATGCATGCTATAACTGAATGCAGCTTATAACTGTGAAGAATTTTTCCCCCAAAAAATTGCCATGAAAAATGTGATTTTTTTTTCCAATACCAACAGTGTGTTTTATAAGGCAAAACATACAGTATATACCAGAGGTGGCCAACCTGCGGCTCGCGAGCCACATGTGGCTCTTTGAAGGATTATTTGTGACTCTCGATAAATGTACCCGAGTTCCCTTTTCATTTTTGTGTTATTATATTTTTAAAAATTATTATTGTTCCGTATGTGTTTCAAAATGTCTTTTAAATTACTAACAACAAATATGAAAGACTAAGTGCAACGTTGTAACAAATTTCATTTCCGTCCAAGTTAAGAATGATATGACTCATCGAAAACTGCACAAACGAACATAAACAGTACCGTAATCGTCCGTCATCGACCGACTCCAGACCGATTTTGAATTTGTAAACTGTCATTGCAACGGACAGTTGAGATTATGCTCTGGAGGAAACAATTTGTATCACTCTTGCTACGGATATAATTTGTAATCTGGAATTTTTTGCATACCTTTTTAATACGTATTTAATTGTGGCTCGCAAAAAATTTCAAATATTGAAAAATGGCTCAGACTATCAAGGGGCTTGGCCACCCTGGGTATATACAAACTTTCTCAAGATGAATATATCAAATGAATGATTAAACTAATATAACAGAAACATATGTAAATATAGAAAAAGCAAACCTTATAATTTTAAAAATATATTTAATACTACATATATTTTTAAAATTATAAGATTGTTTTTTTCTATTTTGCTAAAATAAACAAAAATATTTGTTTATTGTAATAAATGCATTAGCTATTACAGCATTTCTCAATCTTTTTAAGTCTGACAACCATTAAAATGGCTGAAAAAATTCTGCAGACTGCTAAGTTATGTAGGTTAATTTTTTTTAAACCTAGGGAGGTATTACCAACATTTGGGATATATAGTGCCATTTATAACATAACTAAATTGGAAGTAAACTATTAAAAGTGAATCATCATTTAGTGAATCATGTTTTTTGAATCATAAAAAATGATTTATTAAATTTAAGCTATATTAGTGTATTATTTCAATAGTTTCACTGAAATATTTTTGAATGTTTTCAATGTTTATCTTCAAAGTACAAAAGTTATTTTAATAAATAAATTCTTAAAATGTGAAGAATGATCAATATTTGAAAATGATATTCTGGATTTATAATCTTTGTTCATTTGAAATTGTTTAGATTGATGAAACACTGAATATTCAAGTTGGAAATATTATTATTATTAAAAAATATCTAAGATTTTCAAAATTGTAAATTTATAGTATTTTATTGTAATTAAGTTTATAACATTAATCATTAAAATAAAATAATTATTAGTGTTTTATGAATTAATTTATAATTTTTTTAATATAGTAAAAATCAAGATATCTTCTGATTGTTTTAAACTATTGTGTTACAGTATATGCTTTTAATAGGTAAGAAAAAATTTATTATTTGCAACTGTTCTATGAAATATAATAGTCAAATCCTTCTATAGTGATATTTAGCAGAACAAGAAAAAATATTGTTATAGATAGATTTGTTGTTATAATAATAGTTTTAAAAAAGTATCCTCCTTCCTTATTTAACAATGTCAGACTGTAAATAGGGTTATTTTTACAAAGTTAGACAATGTTAGAACACAAAAAAATTAGTATTATTAGTCTCCTCTAATACAAGATTTAAGTGATTTTATTACATATTATTTTTATAAAATATGTAAACATTAAAATACAGAATCAGTCAGAACATAAATTTTCTTAGTCAACTAAATGAACTAAGTAAAACTAAACTAATTCAAAAATATAATTTCTTAAGTAAAATGCTTTAATTATTTTAATAAATGTAATTTGCAACACTAAGGGTATGTTCTATGTGGCAGCAACCACGAACAGAAAGAATCTTTGTACATGCTTCCAACTTGTGAGTGACTTCTGTCAAGAGTGGATGTGTTGTTTACCTAATGGTAGCGAGACAACAACATCGAATGCTTGCTATGGAAAATATGACAAGCATTAAAACATTAAATTTGGAACATAAATGTTATCGCTAACTAGATGCACAACAAATATAAAGAATCTTTATAGAATAAATTTTAAAAAGTTTTATTTTTAAAATGTTGCATTTATAAAATCAGAAATTATTAAATTACATAAAAATTATTAAAATATATATAACATGTATACATAATTTATTTGTCATTCTGTTTTCATCTACAAAACCAGCCATTTTCTTCTTTGGAAGCACAAGCAGTGGAAGTGGCGATCAAACTTGCTTCATAGCTGCTTCCTGCACGTACATGTAGAAGCATCATCTGGTGGTTGCTGCACACTAAATGCGGTTACTCCGGACACACATATTTGCTTGAATCCAGTTTGTTCGTTTCACTTGGAAATGTGTTCACGCCTGTGGTCACTGAATATAACCTAAGGGTGCGTTTACTTCTGAGTTAGCAGTGCTAATTCTGATAACCGGATGTGACGTCATTAGCACGTGTATTCGTGCTTGCTTGTCCAATTCGAAAGTGAACACATACGCTAACAAGAAATATGGCTGGAAACCGCCATATTTCTTGTTAGCGTATGTGTTCACTTTCGAATTGGACAAGCAAGCACGAATACACGTGCTAATGACGTCACATCCGGTTATCAGAATTAGCACTGCTAACTCAGAAGTAAACGCACCCTAAGACATACCTGTACACTTCCTAAGAGAACTTTATTATGTTAAATGAGTTTAACACAAGAAATTTTCCTTAAAAATTATATAGGGTTTCTTAATGTTGCAGATTACACTAATTATATAAGAAAAGAGGCTTTTGTGCACTAAAATACCAAAAACACACCAAATCTGGCAGCCTTGCTATTGTCCATACCAGAATTTGGGATTTGGCAAATTTTTTTTTTTTTCCTTCAACTCTGACTCAAGAGTCAATATCTTTAGCCTGCCAATTCCAAACTGATTCCATAGTATTTATATGTACACTATCATCATAGCCAACTACAACAAAAGGCCTACCAACAGAATTTTAATGGAGTCACTCAGGCTGGTTTAGCTGAAATGCTTTCATGTGACAGTTTACAAAACACATGTCTACTACACTGTAGTGTGCTTTTGCTTGTGTCTTTGTTTTTAATCATATAGTTAATTTTTTAATTATTTTGTTGATATTTTATGTAAGTTTATCTGGTTTTTTTTATCATTGTTGTTATTCCAAGCTTTAGTTTTTTAAATATTGATTTTATTTATTGAACTTAATACATTTTGAATTTATATGTTGAAAGCCTGACAACATGGATTTAGGCCTAACAGTATTTCATTTAATTTAAAATGACTAAAAAGTGTTGTGTACCTAAATGCAAAGGAAATTGTGTACATAAACACACCAATTGGTTATTTAATTTTTTAAAGATCCATACAGTGGTACCTCAGGATACAAAATTAATCCGTTCTGAAACTGAGATCGTATCATGAAAATGTCGTAAGGTGAATCATTTTTCCCCATACGATTACATGTAAAACTAAATAATTCGTTCGAACACAAAAAACACACTCAAATTAAAGCTAAGTAGTACACTAAAAAAAATAACTATAGTAAGAAAAACACTGGAAAATACGTTTTGTAGTTGTAAATATATAAATAACCATAATAGAATAATAATTGATTAAAAAAAAATGTAGTTTTATTTGCACTTTACCTTTGAGGATAGACAACAGTGGAGATGTAAACTGGTGGCAGAAGAGAGGGAGAAGGAAAATGATACTAAAACTTAACTGACATAACATAATGTAACAATAACTTAAAAATAACTTAGAAAAGATAAAAAAAAATATATATATATATTTTTTTTTTTATTCATTGCTTCTTTTTGCTTTCTTTCCTTCATTTCCACCAGCACTTTCACTGGATAGAGGTCACTTGGTAAAATATCTACCCATNGTCAATAGTAAAAGTTATATATATTTTTTTTTTTATTCATTGCTTCTTTTTGCTTTCTTTCCTTCATTTCCACCAGCACTTTCACTGGATAGAGGTCACTTGGTAAAATATCTACCCAAAGAGGTTTGGCTTTGCCTACTTTTTAAAATGTTTCTAAAATGACTTAGGCAAATGTCATTACTCCAAGCAGCAATACGGCCAGTGTGAATCTTTTCGGGATGTTTCTTTTCAATAAAATCAGTCACTTTCTCATAATACCTCAAGATTCCTTTATCGAGTGATATTCTTCCATGACGAAGCAAACACACGGACTGAGACCAATGAACAGAAGTGAATAAAAAATGGCTCTGTGAACTAATGTAACATCGTATGGTGAGTTTTTGTTCGTATCGTGGAGCAAAAATATGTTTGAATTTCATGTTGTATCCTGAAAATTTCATATGCTGGGGCATTCGTATCTTGAGGTACCATTGTATTTCATCAGCATTGGATATGAAATATTCCAGGAGATAAATGGACTCCAACTGATCATAGCATGATTTGTGAATAGCATATTTTACCTTCTGACATCTGAGGAAGGATGTGTAGTGATGAAAGTATAGAGGAACTTGAAAGGAAGATTCCAAAGTTAAGAGAAAATGCAATTTCAACTATATTTCCCAAACTTGCCATTATTTTAACAAAATTCCAGCAAAGCAAAGAAAATCTGCAGATCAGCACAGAGATGAGGAGTGATTAAGATCTGAGCGGCAGTATGCTGATTTCATGGAGAACAAATACATCATCCATAGTTTTTTGAGCTTCATTCAAAGATGAATGAGCAGCTAAAGGATAAGATTTGTAACTAGCATGTTACAGAAGAGAACCAAAATGTTCATTTTCTACCAAATTAGATTTATAGAAGAGAGACCATCCATTTCTGTAACTATATCCATTAATACAGATATTCATATTACTATATTTGTTGCTGAACACTGTGTAGAAAGAAAAGAATTAACATGAATTTGGATAGTGGATGATCTGTGAAAAGAGGTCACAACTTGAGAACTTATTTAATTTCCAATACAAATGAAAGACAAAGTCACTCTAAAAATTTCAGACGATCACCATTTTATTTTCTTTAGTGTTCCAGAACAGACCATAGACAGCCAGACCTTCCTTTTTAGGCTACTCAGCTGCCCATTTTTTATAAAAGTTTCTTAAAAACACAGAAAACCAATAAAAATGAAAAATTTTCTTAAAACTGGAAATGGTAAATCTTGCAACGTCTTAATGGTTTCATCCTTATCCATTTGGAGTTTTGGTTCCTTTATATCTACATTTGTCAGCGCTATTTCTAAGTAGATATAAAGGAGCCAAAACCCCGAACAGATAAGGATGAAGCCATTAAGACGTAAGATTTACCATTTCCAATTTTAAGAAAATGTTTCATTTTTATTGGTTTTCTGTGTTTTTAAGGAACTTTTATAAAAAAATGGGCAAATGAGTAGCCTAAAAAGGAAGATCTGGCTGTCTATGGTCTGTTCTGGAACACTAAAGAAAAAAAAATGGTGTTCGTCTGAAATTTTTAAAGCGACTTTGTTTTTCATTTGTATTGAAAAATATTTATTCATCCGATGGAAATTCAAACTTACTTAATTGTTATAAAAACTTGACTGCTACTCTTTTGCAGCTCCAGTTTTATTTAAACATGTTTGCAAAGGGTTTGACAAGGTAGCATCTCAGTGTGATGATGTACAGTTGGAAATTATAAAATTCAACCAAACAGCTTAATTTCAATGTTCCAGTTAATCTTCTAAGTATGAGGAAATATTTTAAAAAATGGCAACTAGAAGTTGTTATTAAATGCAATACTATGAAAACTTGTTACAAATGATGGTGTGTGTCTATGTGGCATAAGGAATGCTGATATATTTTGTAAAGCTATTCCTATTCTATGCAATATTTTCATTAATAATTATATGAAAACTTGCAACAAAACTGAAAACCAAGAGTTTTAAAAGTGGAAATTGGATACATTGCATTCAAATAAGTCATTTGGATTTTATGTTGAGAACTGATATTCTGTGAAGTTACAATGAGAAATTTTTCCCCATATTTTATTTTATATGTACAGTATGTAAGTAATATATAATATGTTTAATTGTAATAATTAAAATTTATGGAGTAACTAAGCCCCTGTTTTGGGCTTAGTACTTTAAATAGAAATAAAGATTTAGAATTATACAATAATACTAAATATTTTTTTTTTTGCTCTTAATGTATTATGATATTATTATTACAAATTATTGCTTATAGCTACTTTGTCTTTATAAGACAAATTGACAAATTAGTGAATGTTTGAATTCCAGTTCTTATTTGTATTACAGTAAGACCCTGCTTAACACTGCCTTAATATAACATGGTCTGCTTGAAGCCTTAAAAAAAAAGCTCAAAATTTAGACTGATTCGAATCATCGCGGCATTTCATTGATTCATATATAATAAGATTATTCC